CCAGCTATGACGATGTCATCGACCGAGGGATCCTCTCGCTGGAGAAGGCGACGACCCTCTTCGCGCGGTACAACGACAAGAATGGTGGGACACCTGCCAGCCGTCCTGTTCCCGCCCGCCATGACGGTCGGCGAGCTGCGGACCACCAAGCCCGTGCTGTTCCTGGCCGTGCTGGCGGCGGCGTCGAGCGAGACCTCGGCGCTGCAGCGGCAGCTCGTGCGCGAGACGATGCAGGTGCTCGCTGAAAAGGTCGTCATCACGGGCGAGAAGAGCCTCGAGCTCGTGCAGGCGCTGCAGCTCACCACCATCTGGTACTGGCCGCCCGAGCACTACGAGGAGCTCAAGTTCTACCAGCTCGTGCACATGGCCGCCGTCATGGCCATCGACATTGGCCTCGGCAAGCGCTCCGCCGCGCCCCAAGGCATTACGCCCTACGGCGTCTACGGCGTCTACGCCTACCGCCACGCCCAGCACCGCCGGACCCAGCTGCCCGACCCCCAGTCTCTCGAGGCGCGCCGCGCTTGGCTGGCCTGTTACTATCTCTCGAGCAACACGGCCATGGCCCTGCATCGCCCGCTGCTCATCCGCTGGACAAAGTTCATGGCCGACAGCATGGAGATCCTGCGCACCGCGCCCGATGCGGCGCCGACGGACAAGTACTTTTGCGGTCTCGTCGACACGCATCGCGTGTCCGAGGATGTCGCTGCCCAGTTTGCGACGGCTGAGCCTGAGGATGCGATCAATGTTCGCGATCCCGGCGTCACGTTTTCCCTAAGGAGGTTAAAGCGTGATCTCGATACGTCGTACAACATGCTGCCTCCTGATCTTCACCGAAGTACGTCTCTCCTTCTTTTTTTTTTCTTTTTTTCGTGCTCTCTTTCTCTCCTTTTCCTTCTTCAGACCTCCTTGCTGACCCTTCTAGCCACGCTAACCATATCATACCATGTCGTCAAGATTTACATGCACGAGATGATCATCAATGTCTGCTCGTCACCCGCAGCCAGGACGAACCACCCTGCGGAAATCTCCCTCCAAGACATCGCTGCGACGTCACCTCTGTCCGGGCTGCATCCCCTCCACGTCAACGCCTACTCGGCCTGCCTCTCCTCCTGCCACGCCATCTTCGACACGTTTCTCGCCACCGACATAGCCACCCTCCGCTGCCTGCCCGTCTTCAACCTCGTCCGCATCTCGTACGCCCTCGTCGTTCTCATCAAAATGTTCTTCTGCGCCGTCGCCCCCGGTAGCGAGCTCGCCGGCATCATGGGACGCGACGACTTGAAGGTCCATACCTACGTGAACCAGATCCTCGAGCACTTCCGAGCGGCGGCCGCCGACGACGGAAGCCGCCCCGCAAGCAAGTTCC